TCTACCTCCCTCAGGACTTTTTTCATACTTTGACTGAGCATTTTATTTTTTTAATTCATTTAATTGTTTTAATTTTAATACTCGTACATGAGATTTTGCATACCATGGTGGGTTCCCTGACCCCCAACCTCCAAAGAATTCCCGGCCCCTAGTCAAAAGTGATGACCCAGAATGCCCCAGGAACCGAATCCCCCCACTCCCTAGCAGAGACCCCAGACTTTCTTTTTTCTTTTTTTCAATGTTTTCCTTTTTTTTTTCAAAGATTTTATTTATTTATTTGAGAGAGAGAGTGAGAGAGAGAGCCCAAGAGGGGGTAGAGTCAGAGGGAGAAGCAGACTCCCTGCTGAGCAGGGAGCCCGATGTGGGACTCGATCCCAGGACTCCAGGATCATGACCTGAGCCGAAGGCAGTCGCTTAACCAACTGAGCCACCCAGGCACCTGAGACCCCAGACTTTCTAACCAGCCAAAATTCCAGGGAGTTTTGATCCCTAAAGAGCTGCTGTTCCCGGGCAGGTTGTCGCCTGCTGAGAACCTTGGTTCTGAGAGCCCAAGCTCCTCAGGGGAGTAAGCCCTACAGGCCCTCTGCAAAGGGAGGCAGTCTTGTAGGAATGCAAAGCAGGCACAACCACGATCTCTCAGGCCCACGAAAGCAGGGCAGGGGCCTCTGGAGCAAGATTCCAGCAACTTCGGCAAAAGCCAGAGAAGGACAGTGGAGAGGAGGATCCCACCAATGTTGGTATCATCAGCAATTATCCTAATGTAGCTATCTGCAGGATATATTGTTAAGTGAACAAAACACTGTTGGAACAGTGTTTCTAGAATGATACCTTTTGTGTAAGAATGGGAGAATATAAATATATAGGTATTGCTTATACTTTTCCAAGTGAAACAGTAGCGTGATAAACTGGTAAGAACGGTTACCTTTCCATAAGAGGGAGAGAGTAGGGAGGGAACACAAATAGCAATGAATTTTCTATATTCTATGATTTCTGAAACCATAAAAATTCTTTGCATAATTACAAAAACAGTTAGCTCAAAAAGGGAAACAATCAACAAGCTCTAATAACTGGTTAAAAGAACCTGAGACAAATGAGCCTAACTCTATGTCAAGTGGGTACATAATCACAGAGGGAAGAACTACTTCTAGTAATTTTAAACCCATTTGCTGACTACATATCCCTGTAGTACATGTTATAAAGACTTCTTTTAATCCCAAATAATTTTAAAACTATAGTCAATTGTCCTCTTTTTAACAATCATATCAATATCACCTATGGGAACTACACTAAGCACATGGCATCAGGCAAGAAAATCACTTTCTCCATAATCAGCTGTCTTCCAACTTAGCTCTGGCCCACCAGGCTGGTGGGAGCCCCTTGGGATCCTTTAGGGCCCTGGCAGAAACCATCCTTCCTTCCTCATTCTTGCACCCTCTGTGCCTAGCTCACAGTAGGCCCCCAGTGAGCATCTGTTGTGTTGAAATGAAGTCCCAGGCCCCAGGATTCTACTCAGATTCCCCCAGCTCACAGCCTAGCCAATATCCAGGAGGCCTCGGACCTATCGCTTATTTCTGGAGGCCTCCTCTGGTCTCTGTCACAGCCCCTCCCAGGCCTCTGCTTTCTGTGCTCTTTGCCCTGCAGGCCCTTGGCTCCAAACCCATGCTCCCACTTTGTTTTGCCACATCTGTAATCATTTACTTCTATAAAGGGATTCTTACATCTATTACTTCATTTAATTCTCCCCTCCACTCCATTTCAAAGCTCTGTTTTACACATAAAAATGTCACCATAGATGAAATGAAGTCTTCTGTCAAGGCCCCTCTGCTAGTGAATGAGGTAGCTTGTCAAAAGTCCTTTGGATGGATATTGCTTCAAATCCACTCCGAACCATAGTGACTCGAGCAAATCCTTCATTCATCCATTCACTGATTCAAAAAACACTTATCGGCCACGTGAGACACAGTGTTGTTGCCAGAAACACAGAGGTGAATGGAGAATGGAGACACTGTCCTCTGGGAATAACTGAGGCTCCATGTTCCCATCTGTCAAAATGGAAATAATATCTGTGCCTACCGCCAATGAAAGACTACTCAGAGGTCAAAATAAAACAACACATATACATGTATATAGTGAGCATATATGTCGACGTAGGAAGAGTTTGCACCAACAGTCTAGGCAGATCTTCAGGATAGCCACAGTATTTCCAGATGCTGACCTAGCCGATTATCCAGAGGCCCTGGTTAAGCACTACCTCTTCCTAGAACATGTAAGTCCCGAGAGGTTTATTAAGCACTAACCAGAAGCTCCACCTTGTGCTAAGCAATGAGGGGCTTCTCCCAAAGTGTAAGACAGGACCAGAAATACGTGCCAGTTTTCCTTGGGTTTATGGTAAACGTCTGATGGCCCTGGTGGGTCCTCTCAGAGGGGGGCCCATGGTAGGATGCAGACTTGAACCATTTTAAACACGTGGGCTTTCAAGACAGACAGATTGGAGTTTGAATCCCAGCCTTGCCATTTACTAGCTAGTAACTCTGGACAAGTTTCTTACCTGAGCTACCTCAAGTGAAAAATAAATGTAAAAATAGTACCTCATAGAAGCATTGGGGAAATTAAATAATGTATACAAAATGCTTAAAACAGAACCTAAAACCTCGTAGGAACTCAGTAAGTCGCCCCTGGCGTTAAGTTTCTTCTGCTGGAGCCCAGGTCTCGGGGTGTCTCACGAACCTGAAAGATGCCCACATCTTCCACGACACCCAGGGCAGTCGAGGTTGCATCGGTTGGAGATGCAGGAGTTCCTAGCCCCTGCAGCCCCCCGGTGCAGATCTCTCTGTCAGCAGGGCTCGGCTCCAAGGAGTCCAGCTGGGTGCATCTGGCTGGGGAGATTAAATTATTTTTGAATTCCTAACTGAATGTTCTTTTAATGGAAACTCAATGACAGGCATTGAAATAGATTTCCTCCATAACCCCTCCTCCCGCTGCAGCCGCCCCCCCCCCCCCCCACACACACACGGCTCTGTGTTGCGCTGTTCCCGATAACCTTTATTCCCTACCCCTGGACTTTTATCTCCCCAGTGACAAACAGCCCTTGCTGGACAGAAAGAGGAAATTCCAGTCATTGTTCTCAAACTTCTGGCTTCCAAAATAAAATGCTCTATCTCCCCTGTCAAGCTTTGATTGACATGCACTTCCTGTAATGGCAGACAACAACGGCCCAGGGGTGGGGTCAGGGGCTCATTTGCATTCTTTGCATCAGAGGTTTTCACGTTTGTTCTAGATGGGGAAAGATCCCCCATGCTATTCACCAAACCATCCTGTGGAGAAGCCATGTCCCATTTTGAGAAAAATCTCCAAGGAAGGCACCTCCTCACAGTCCACCAGGAAAGTTCTTTGCTGTCCTGTGACACGCCTATTAGCCATGGAAACAGACACTCTAATCATCTCACTTCTTAAATTTGGCAGCTTAGAGAGAGGATCTTTTCCTTCCACACTTTCTCTCTTGTAGAATAAATTTTTAGACCATCTCCCAAATCTTAAATCTGAATATTGGCACCAGAGTCGACCTAAGTCCTGGGAGATTAGACCAGGTTGGGACTCTCCAAATCAAAACCCTCATAGCAACAGAGCTAAATTAGGCACTTCAGGGGGAGTTGGTGCCAAGGAAAACTCTGAATATGGTACAGCATCATGGGATGCAGTTTTTCTTGGAAGGAATAAGAAATACTGAATTGCTTTCAGAAAGGATAGATAATTAAGTAAATATAACAATATGGCGCACCTGTAGCAATTACAGTACTAATATGGTCAGGTCCTGCTGGGAACAATGTTACTTCATTGGAATAAAAAGCCTGCCTTTAGCATTGGCATTAACCTTTAGGCAAGTTAGCCTTCTGGAACCTTCTATTTCCCATTTATTTTCTTTGCTCACTGAGCTCCTATGCCTTTGGTCACCCTCTCTTTTTAAACATCCAGGTTTTTTATGCTGCTTTTGGGTTCCGGCCACTCCTTAGGATTATTAAAAGGTACCTGCGGACGCTCCTTTCCTCAGGGCTTTATTGGATGTAAGTATATTAATGGTTGCTAGAGGTTCGATGGGAATTTGCATGAAGAAAGAGACGCCGGATAGCAGAATGCCTTAATCCTAATAAAGGAATATTTGAAAGCACAGATTTCCACCGAATAACCCAGAAGGATTCCAGTTTTTCAGCTCTCTTAACCATCAAAAGGAGTAGATTTTATAAGATCATTTCACTTCCAGCAATCCCCAAGCATGCTGTTAATGAGCAGAACAGACCAGAAGGAATGTGTTCTGACCCTCCAGTTTATGAAGGGACTACAGAGTCATAAAACCTCATGACAGTGGGCCACCAGAGAATTCTGGCTTCCTCCAGCTTTTCATACCTCATTTCCTTTAGCTTTGTCAGTAGATCAAATTGCGGTGCCGGCACACTTATAGGCACAGACTAATCTCCCATGTAGGCCAGTTGCGTCCAGTGTTACGGCCACTGACAAAGTGCACAACTCTTAGCCCGTCAGACTTCGTACTGATCTCAATCAGAAGGACCAGAGCGTGTGTAGGAATATGAACAAACTCATGCCCAGGCCTGGGAAAACAGAACCATCCCCAGTGAAAACTACCACAACCACCGCTTTGTGTGCCCAAGACACATTGGAGTGATCATCAGGAGTGGTACAGGGAAGAGGCATGCCTGTAACCACAGGGTCTTTCCCCCCAGGGTAAGCCGGTGTCCAGACAACATATGGTCTTATTTGCCATCTTCCCACCCCTCCCACATCGCCCAGGAGAAAGTCCACCCTCAGCAGGAGGGATGTCACCTGTTCGGTCGGTTACAGTTAACACACATGTCAGCTGCCGGTCTGTTACAGGTAACACACAATAACTGACACTTTTGGAAAGCATGTGCACTGTTTCAGAGATTTAATATATGAATCAACACGCTGAAAACATTTTGATTCCTAAAGGAGCTTTGAGTCCCATTCTTCCCAGGATAGATTCAAAATAATGGAGGTGGAGGACCGAATGAGACATTCACAGTAAAACCCTTCCCTAGAGATCAATCCTTATATTAAGCTGGTCCCTTTGAGAAAGATGCAGTGTTGGCCCTCAGAGAAAAACACACCTCGTGTTTACCTCCCTGAGGGGTCACAGACCATCCCTTTCCTTTCCACGAGTCTTCTTTAGAAACAGCATTTCAGTACAAACTCAAGGCAGAAAAACACAAGATCCCTTTTTCTCAGAAGCACTAGCAGTATTGTCCCTTCTAAACTGGCATTGTGCCTTTAAACTCTTCACTGCCTTCTTGGAAGATCAGGAAATATTCTTTTAACAGATTTGTAGCCCTTTATCCCACCTAACACAAATTGGAAGAAATATCACCACCATGTTCAGATCAAGCATTCTTTCTTCAGGAAAGTATTCACTGAGATTTCTAGAGTGATGATTTAGCCTCTAAATGTACCATGTGAGATCATTTGGGCCAAAACCCAACTTGGGCTACAGTGTCTGGATGCACCATAAAGCAGGTTGAGTTCAGTGTTCCTCTCCACGTTGGATACATAGAGATGCAAGGTCCATGGCTTGAGCCTTCCCTTGCTCTTCAGGAAACACAGCATGACCCAGACTAAGATGAAAGCTCCAACAACCAGGGTTGGAGAAGCTCAGAGCCTCACAGATTTTCTTGGGGTACCTACCAGTCTTTTCTTACTGTCTCTGATTAGTTCATCTCCTCCAACCAACCAAAAATGGCTCTCTGAGGGAGACCATTTTTCCCTTGATAAAAGCCAATATTAAAAGTGACTTATTTCTTATCAGTAGAATAAAAACGAGAATATGGTTTTTCCCTGATCCTATCTAAAGCTCATAACTTCTTCAAGGAGAATTTTAAGATCTCATTTGGCCTGTCCATTAAACTTTTGATGATTTTGTTTCTATCAACACTGCATGACTTCAAATAATCATATTCAAGATACCAAGTGAACTCCTATGGCTTCCATACTGCTATTTCCTGTAAGAATATTGCATGTTCTAATGCAGTTGCCTTGTAGAGCTACCTGTCTTGTAAAATCATGGCTGTGGGATTCAGGGGCATGGTGCTGATAGACGTTGAAGGCTCTTGTCCTAATTTCATATCCTCAAATTGTTGATTGCTTCCTAATACTTCTAGTCACTAGGTATCTTCAAGACTTTGCTTTACTCCTGTTGAAAAACCACTGTCACATTTTGGTGTCATCTGTTTCATTGACTTCTGACAAGCTGAAGTTGGGATTGTCATAGCCTCTCTTCATCCTGGCTCTAGCATCTTTCTCGTTATAAAGGCACAAGGCACAATGAGGAGTCTCCACTTCCACAGTCTTACTAAAGTTATGGAAATCCACTCGGTATTTCCCTTCCTTAGTCTTGGATACCATGGGAGCAAAACGGTAGCCCCAGAGCACCTCTTCTGGGACATAGGATGTTCGGACTTGGCAGGTAGCACTGGTTGATTCCACTGTGCCATCTAAAAACACTACTAACTCAAAGTCTTGCTGGGGAAGAGTTTCTGCTGCCATGTGGAAGAAGGGGCTGTTTTGATCAATGACATGGTAAATTGTCAATGGGGAGATGAAGAATAAATTTTCATTCCCTGCATCAACTACAAAGTTGATATTGATCTGGTCCAAAATAATAGTCTCTCCTTCAGGAGTGACTGTGGTCCTCAGGAGCTTTCCATATATGTGACTCCCAATAAGGAGGCTCTTCCTAAGATTAACCACTCGGATTAGGAGACAAAGCTTCCCGCCCCGCTTACTGATCACTGCGTTCTTGCTGAATGTAATGGTCTTGGCACGTTTTTTGGGTCTGGAGATCTTGGCTAAAATGGCACCACACATGAAAGAATTGATGATGACTCCAAGTATAGACTGGAAGATAAGAAGGAAAATGGCAGTGCCACATTGTTCTGTCACACACCTGAATCCATATCCAATAGTCACTTGTGTTTCCAGAGAAAACAGAAAAGCTGAGGTCAAGCCATTAATGTTCTCCACACAAGGGGTGTGGTTGACAGAAGGATGGAACTCAGGGAGATCTTTGTGAATGTAGGCTACCGCATACCACAGAAGACCAAAGAAGAACCAACTCCCCAAGAAGGTTGAAATGAAGATGGTCATTTTGTATCTCCATTTGAGGTCAAGCACAGTTGTCCAGATGTCCACAAAGAATATAAACCTTGACTGGGCCTCCACGTTGCCAAACTCTATGTTGCACCTTCCATCTTTGGAGACCAGTCTTGCTCTTTGCCGAGAATGCCCCAAAAAGTGAGCAACAAACCATTTCCGAAGATGTTTGAACATTCTTTCTGTCAACACTCTGATCTGAAACACATCAAAAACAAACAAAATGAAATGATGTTTACAGCAGCAGTGGACTAGGTGCGTCACATGAAGAGCTAACTATATATGAAAGGCCATTCAAAACAATCTGAATTACTGAGCATTCAGAAAAGCTGACAGTTTATTCTGGATACTGCAACACTATTTTCAACAGAAACTTTCCACCAAAAGACTATATTGCTTAGATATAAAGAGGGAAAATAATTACAGAGAGATCGAAATGGAAGGAACTTAAGAGGGCATGTATTCGAATGTTTCCTGACCTTAGTCAGTGGCACACAAACTTAAAAATGCTTGTGATAACCAATTATGACCTGTACTATGATTTATCTGGTATTACTCTTTAAATCAATTCTCCTTTTCCTTTAATAGATGTTTGCCTTCTGCTAAGCAAAAATATCTGTGAAAGCAGAAGCTGGAAGGACTACTTATATTTTTTGTAAAATATAAAAATAAATAACCATAAAAAAGATTCATTGCTCTACTACCTAAAGCATCTTCTTTACTGCTATTATCACTCAGTATCAAAAGGAATCTTGACCAATTCAATTTTCTCATTTATCCAGTGAAGGAACGGAGATTCAGAAAATTTTAATGATATAGCCAGAGTCGTGTACTAACCAGTGGCAGGATGACAACTAAAAACATAAACCATAAGGTTCCCTGCTTCCAGTACAGAGGAACCTCTAATATGCTGCATCTCAGTTATTAAATTTTATATTCTAAAGTCAGATTTGTTTGAAACATTTTAAGACAAATATTGGTCAACTTCCTTTTTTTTTTTTTTTTAATGTTTGAGACTATTTAGAACAGAGTTCCTCAATACATTTTGGTCAAGTCCTACCCTATGATCTCAGCAGTTTGCTCAGTGGAGCTACAAGCCTGTTTCCTTTTTCTCTCCATGATGTGCCAAGATTCCTAAGAGGAATGGTATCATGGTCACCATCAATAGCTCATGCTTTCTTCCCTGATTCTAAGCTGAAGGACTGGGAAGCTCTGATTTAAATAATACTCCAAATAATTCTCCATAAAGGTAGAACCATGCTTTATTCACTCCTCTACCCCAGCTGCTAGCACAGTCTATGGACACTCGATAGTTATTCAATGAGCGTAAATGGAATAATGCAATGAATGAAGTAAGCTCTTCAAAATACCATCTACTCAATGGTTTCTTGTTGATGACATTATTATGACTTCCAGTTTACAGCAAAAAAAGTGAAGGGATTTTCCCCTAAACAGCCAACAATGATGAAAGCCACAGTCATCAACACTAGACTACCTCCTCCCCTAGATGTGCCCTCCCCCACTCTAAGGTGTGCCCACCATGGTTAGCAATGTCTTCGCGGTATTTTTAATTAAATGCAAATATGTTTCTAAAATAGATTTCAAAATCCCCCTTCAAAAATATGTTTATTCATACAAACCAGGAAGCGAAACCAACTTAGTGATACATTTTAAACAAAAGTACTATCCCACACTGTTGTGTTCACAGCCTTAAGCCAGGTGAAAACATAAGAAGCCAACACCAGTGGTAAAAAGAAAACCACAGCCATGGTGATTTGAAATTTTGAGGACAAGTTCTATAGATACAGAGAAAGAAAATGCTACCAGGAGAGCAAACAGCAGTGCACACACTCAGAGGGCCCTGCCCACATCCCACCCAACCCTCATGGACCTCAAGTCCCCAAAGAGTCGTAGGGGTTGGTCTCAGGTGAGGCACCCTGAAGAAGAGTCTGCTCCCTCCCCAGCCTCTCTCCTTTCTCTGCACACACATAGTTTAACCTGGTTTACGTTCCTCCCTCTCCTGGGTTCATGGAAGCTAACACACTGTCTTAAAAGCTCTTCGTAGAAATAAAATAATAATTCTCAAGCCAACATTTATCAGGCGAATCCATATTCTCTTTGTCACACATTATATTTCCAGAGTTGGCTCCCAAAGCACAACTTCTGAGTTTTTCTTCCTCACAACTTCTCTTCCAGTCTCTCCTAAGTTCATTTCATTTTCGAAGATAAAGAATATTTCTATAGAGTGAATAAGTAACCTCTGATTTATCTCTTGGATAAGTCTGGGCTTCCTTGCCTGCATTAGAAATAAAATATCTGCCTGGCCTTGCAAAGAGCTAAAACAAAAGCAGTCAGCTTATAATGCTTTCCCAGACCGTCTGCACTTACCAACATCCTAAGCATATTCCAACCCGATGTATCCATGTCTGGGGAAAGCAAGGAAGTGGCCTTGGGAGTTGATCTCTGTCTGCAGATTGATTTCCTTTAGACTCGGCCTAATTTATTTTAGGGTTTGGTCAGTGGACTGATGCTAATTTCTATTAGCTTGAAAACATTTAATTTGATAGTGGAGTTGGGTGGCTTAAACCAAGGCAATTGGTTGTTCTCAGACTGAGCCCCAAGCTGGGTATGTATTTTTTTTTTCAGACCTCACATGGCTTGAATACCGTCATGCTAAGACATGACAACCCCCCAGCTAAGGTCCCTGGGCAGCAGGCATGGCTTGAGTTCCAGCATTTTTCTCCTCTCCTTTGCCACGCTCTATATAGCTCTCTTGTTGTTTCTCATAGGTCATGCCTATTAGCTTTCCACCAGAAAGAATTAGTTATCATCGATCTCTGAGCCTGTTCTCTGAAATACACTGAGATCCTGAGATTTCCAAATGTTCACAAAGATACAGGTAAATATATAGACTTAGATCAGTACATATTCATAAGATGAAAGTAAGGTCACCCCAGGAAGAAACAAGATATCAGGTCAATCTCTCTATACAATAGTCTCTGTTATGTAAGAAACAGATTTAAAGCAGTCTTTATTGTTGGAGTTATTTTATAAAATCTGGCATTTACTGAAGGTAGTTTTCACATGTACTGTGTTGGCCAGTGCTGTTGATTTATTTACTCAAAGAGTGAGAAGAATGATACCTAGAGAAGGTAAGAATATGGGATAAATCCATCCCTTGACCAAACCCATCATTCACATGGCAGACCCATCGTAATCAGCACATAGCCTACTTTGCTTAGACAATGACATCTAATCTAACCACAGACAGAGCAAATATGCATTTTTTGTACTATGGGCTCGTCAGAGATTGGCCCTGGTTGTCTATGTTGTGTCGCATGTACGGTTTTTAGGTTACTTTCTATTGAAATCAGTAAATCTTAATAGCAAGCAAAGGGCTGTACTTGAGCTAATATTTACCAAGGTACTCTTAGTGGCCTGGCAAAGCAAGTGAATTCTATTATTGCCATTTTTTTTTCCTTCAGTGCTCCAGATATTCTTGTTCTGTAAAGAGTCCATTCTCAGAAAATAGACTTTTTGTACACTTTCCAAACACTGAGTATATGCTTATTGTGTAGGATTTCAAAAACAAATTAAATCTGCTCCCGTTCTCAAGAGGCTTACAGTCAAATGGGGAAGTGAGCTCAGGAAACCAGCAATTACAATGTGGTGTGGTGTGTATATGCCCAAAAGAACACCTTTTCTAAAAGGTCTCTATCAGATGGGTATCCACTCTCTGCACAATACTTCAGTGGACAGAAAGCTCACTGTCTTTTTGCATTCATTAATTTATTTTTCTATCATGACTCGACCATGTTGAGTTGCTGCTAGTATGTGTGTCAGGCACTGCGCTAGACATTAGAGAAGCAATCCTTTACCAAATGGGCACTCTCCTTGTCACTTTGAAGAAGCTTCCAGTCAAGTGTGTGTGGGGGGGAGGTGTCAGGGTGAGAAACAGCGGGAGTGCTCTGGGGAGAATCTTATCTGAGGTGCTATCGAGGGCAAGGCCTGAGGATGGTGTTAAACTCACATGTCGTAGGAACTATAAATATTTGTTGAGTGATGACAAAGAAATCCATCAACCCATGCATAAAAGCAATGAGTTATATGGGTCCCCTTCTAATGGCGATATTTTATAAGAGACACACCTGGGTGTGAAGTTTGAGCCAACTACACTGTAATCGTGTGTGACCCAGGCAGGGGCAGCAGAAGAAAGAAAGTGTGAGGGGCTGAAAGAGGAGCCAGGTGACTGGACAACAGGGTCTCAGCAAGACACGAGGCTGGAAAGGCAAGCAAGGGCCATACACACTCAGTGGTGGAATGCCACGTGAGATATTTTCATTATTGACTCAAATAATGAAACCGTATGAAGAACACTGGTCTAGTTCTGCTTCAGGGACAACTCATGATAATTCTAAAGAAGCCTGAAGTCTCTTCTGCTTATGAGACCTTCAAATTCCTGAAAATAAACATGCTTTCCTCCTGAATCTCCTTCTGTCCACAAAAATGCCCCCTTCGTTTGCATGAAACACCCACATCAACTAAAACCCTTCATGAAACGAGGTGCCCATGGCTCGTGCTCATTGATGATGTTGAAAGAATCAATGCAGAAGGTGTGCATTTGCAGGTGTGCACCTGAGAATGGTGGATTTGTGGCTTCCTACAGCATTCACCACAAAGCCTCCTGCCCAGTGCCAGCAAATGCTCCACGTCCACAGTATCAGAGGGAGGAAAGCAAAGTGACTTGGCTTTTACTGCCTCTTATTTAGAATCACAAAGGCCATCATTTCTCTTAAGAGATGGGAAACCATTTACTTGAGTCAGCCTTTTTGTCACACCTCTCACCGCCTTACTTCCATTTCGGACACTTCTCCAGAGTTGAGATTTTATGTAAGACGTAGAACCTACGAGTTCTGGGTCCTGAGCGCAGAAATCAAATGATTTTCTGTAGTTCCTTTGCAACTGCGGTGGAGGAGAAATTCAAGTGTCCGTGAAATTTTACTGCTTTGTTTAAGGCAACAGTCAACTGAATTCAAAAACACTGCTGAGGACCAAGCGCAGCAAGGCATAGAACGGGATTCTGGGGCATGGTCTCAGCCTTCTTCATTAACATAATCAAGCCAACGCTTGACTTACAGAACATTTACCGTGTTATCAGGTGCTAGGCTAGGAAACAAAGAATTAAGGACACAGGCCCTGCTCCCCAGGCGCTCACAGATAAGAAGTGATTGAATTATCGAGGTGCTACCCCGAAAGGGTTAAGGACAGGGTTGAAAGCCACCACCAAAGAGGAGACCCAGCAGGCTGGGTGTCAAGCTTATGTTCTTCAACACACAACTTCGCTAAGGTGTGTTGCACCTAACTGCTATGCAGAGCACTTCCTGTTTTCTATGAAAATGATCTCAAGCTATTGTAGGCTAGCCACCCAGATGGATTTGCAAACACTCAGGACCCTGACAAACACTGAGTCATCTAGCTCCCGGATTACCCCCAGAACCTACTGGAGAAGGGGGCTGTTGCCCTTTCCTTTGGTAGCTCCGGGAGAAGTCCCTGCTGCTGTCTTAAGCACTATCAGGCAGCTCACTTGGGGTCAACAGGGGCCCTTCTTAAATAGACCTTGGCAAGGCCGGTAGAAACCAATTTTCCTGGTCTCGTGGCACATAAAAGGGCACCTGAATCTCAAGACTCTTCCAGGCTAGATGTAGGAATGCATTTCAGGAACATCTCACCTTTCTTTTGGGGGTAAGGGTTTTCCCAGATCTGGTCCACTGTGAAGCCCCAAGTCTGCTTGTGTCCAGGATGGGAACACAACACAGGCCTTCCTGGGTGCCTGGTTCCTTCCCACGAAAATAGTGTGGGACCAAGAGTCAGGGAATCACAAGGTTTAAGGGTGTTGGTGCTCTCAGAAAGGACACCGTGTTCTGTAGACGTCTCTGGAGCCAGCTGGTCCAGTAGCATTACTGGAATAACTGCACAGGTGTGCCAGGCACGGAGATTAAGAGAGGATGGGAGGACCTGGTCCAGGTGTTCGTGGCCCAGGTAATAACCGAAGGCAGCGTGGCAGGTGGAAGGAACCCAGCTTGGGTAAGCAGAGACATGGACTTGAACACCAGCTCTGTCGCTTAATGACCAGGGGCCCTGAGAAAGCCACACCGTCTTTCTGAACCTCCGTGTCCCCACCTGTGAAATGGCTATTAAAATACACTTTCAAAGACTGCAGTGTGTTCTCAGTGCAATCACATAGGTAAAGTTCCTAGAACATAATGATCAGGCAATAAATAGTAAGAACTGTTATTATTAGTCCACAAATTTAAATGTGTGCCACAGTTCACCCAGGTGTCACTGACCCAGGCCATTTGGAGCCTCTGCTGTGTGGAGTTAAATGGGCTGTATTGGAGACAGGAGCCAGGTGAAGGCAAAGGCTTGTAGGTAAGTGACAAAGGTCGCACCAGAGTGCCTGTGAACTGTACTGGCTCCAGAGCCCGTCCTCCCACATGGAACCAAAGACCCGGGAAAGGGGAATGTGTTTTTATAAAGGCTTTGTCTATAACCACAGCAGAAGGCTTATCTTGCAGAGGAGGAAAGAAGATACAGAGAACAAGAATGATTCTTAACAAGCCTGCCCAGAGGTGTGGTGGTACCTGGCGTGACGCTGTCCTTCTCCTACCACAGACATTGACTAGGCCTTGATCATATTACTGAATATAGACACATATGCACCCCGCAAAGGGTTTTGGCACTGCTAGGGGCTTCCTGGCTCTCCCCACTAGGGCTCTGTGTTCTTCTGTTCAACGCGAATAGTTTCTTGCAAAACATTGACATCAGACAAGACCATTCTGTAGTCAGGTCTGAACACAGACAAAAACCTGAACGTTGTCCAAACCACAAAAATGACCCAAATCCCCCTACGTGGGCTATTAGAAGTGATCGCTGCTTCTTTACCAATAATGACGTTCGCTGTCCACCAGTCTTCTCCCCTTCCAAATGATAAGATTTATTGACATAATCACTCATAGAATTACTCTGAATTACTGACATCTAACCCAGAGCAAAGCATTGCTTCTTTAAATCTTCCCCAAATCACCTAAACAAGCCCAAATCCTCTTTAAGTATTTTCTAGCACCCAGGGAGGTTCCCCACATTTCTTCATGGTGTGTGTTCTCACTAACTGCAAAAAGCCAATTTGCTCAATTACAGGGGTGTTCCTGGTGCTCTTCGGCTGGGATGCATTAACACCACTAAAGGACAGAAGAACACACAGAAGAAAAGGTGTAACTAAGAAGTCATAAAGCCATTTTACAGGCCATATGTTCACTTTACACATTTGTTTGCTTTTGTATCCGGATGTGAAGAATCAAGGAAATAACCAAGTTTAAATACAAAAAGTCATGAAGAGGAGTTAAAATTTTTCAGATGCAGGCTT